AGACACTGTACTTCCCATCTCCAGGACTCAAGTCCGGCCTGCCGGTTTCCCTGAATCCGTTCATTAATGTTACTTTGCTCACACTACAACAGCACATCAAGTATTAACCCTTTCAGGGTTTCGGACGTACTAGTACGGCTTACGCACCAGGGTTTTTGACGTACTAGTATGCCTAAATTCTACCGCCCTCAAATCTAGTGAGAGAAAGTTGGTAGGCCTCTATATGAAAGAACGGGTCTATGTGGTCAGTGTGCACAGTGCATAAGGAGAAAAAAAAAATTTGACTATGTTTTTGGATTAAAACAGCGACTTTGCGCTGTACATATTTTCGTATGGTATTTATTGTTGTATTCTAGTTTTCCTGGTCTCATTTTATAGAATGGAAGACATATTACAGAAATTGAGATGATTTTGACTGGTTTTACAATGAAAAGTACCTTGAAATTGAGCTCAAAGTAGCAGAAATGTTTGATATTTACCAAAGTTCAAAAGTAAACAAATCATGCCACAAGTCCAATACACATCAACTGGTGAGTCTAATATTCTTTCACAAGTGCGCCGATATTATTTATATCATTTCTACACTAATGCAGTAGTCTGCATAACAGTAAATCTAATTTTTTGTGAGAATAAAAATTTAAAGTGGAATGCAAAAGAATGTAAGAGGGACGTGGGGACGTGACTAATAAACAGAAGAAATGTTATTTTAGTGCCAGACATGTCTTTCTTGTTTATTCTGGACCCTATTTGGAAATTGGCATCTTTTGAAATTTGTGTGAAATTGGCCAAATTGCTAAGTTCTGACCACTGTATTGGATAGTTGTAATCGGTAAATGGGTGGTTTCTTGAACTCATTCGATAGAAAAAATGGAGTTTTAGCGAAATAGTTATGATTTTTGTCGACTAGTACACTGGAATTGGCCGAAAATAGGGCTCAAAGTGGGCAAATTTGCCAATGCGTAAACGTTGTCGAGACCGCTAACTTCACGAGAGCATAATTCCCTAAGTTTTCCATCCAATTTCACACTTTTGGTGTCACTATGATCGAGAAAAGATTCTCTATCTTTTCATAAGAAAAAATATTTTTTTTTTTTGTAATTTGGGGGACCCTGAGAACAAGTCTGTGAGAGGGCCTGTGGACCTGGAGAGAGTTCCAGGAGTCAACGCCCCTGCGGCCCGGTCTGTGACCAGGCCTCCTGGTGGATCAGAGCTTGATCAATCAGGCTGTTACTGCTGGCTGCACGCAAACCAACGTACGAGCCACAGCCCGGCTGGTCAGGTACCGACTTTAGGTGCTTGTCCAGTGCCAGCTTGAAGACTGCCAGGGGTCTATTGGTAATCCCCCTTATGTATGCTGGGAGGTAGTTGAACAGTCTCGGGCCCCTGACACTTACTGTATGGTCTCTTAACGTGCTAGTGACACCCCTGCTTTTCATTGGGGGGATGGTGCATCGTCTGCCAAGTCTTTTGCTTTCGTAGTGAGTGATTTTCGTGTGCAAGTTCGGTACTAGTCCCTCTAGGATTTTCCAGGTGTATATAATCATGTATCTCTCCCGCCTGTGTTCCAGGGAATACAGGTTCAGGAACCTCAAGCGCTACCAGTAATTGAGGTGTTTTATCTCCGTTATGCGCGCCGTGAAGGTTCTCTGTACATTTTCTAGGTCAGCAATTTCACCTGCCTTGAAAGGTGGGGTTAGTGTGCAGCAATATTCCAGCCTAGATAGAACAAGTGACCTGAAGAGTGTCATCATGGGTTTGGCATCCCTAGTTTTGAAGGTTCTCATTATCCATCCTGTCATTTTTCTAGCAGCTGCGATTGATACAATGCTATGGTCCTTGAAGGTGAGATCCTCCGACATGATCACTCCCAGGTCTTTGACGTAGGTGTTTTGCTCTATTTTGTGGCCAGAATTTGTTTTGTACTCTGATGAAGATTTAATTTCCTCGTGTTTACCATATCTGAGTAATTGAAATTTCTCATCGTTGAACTTCATATTGTTTTCTGCAGCCCACTGAAAGATTTGGTTGATGTCCGCCTGGAGCCTTGCACTGTCATGCAGATTCGGGTATCATCTGCAAAGGAAGACACGGTGCTGTGGCTGACATCCTTGTCTATGTCAGATATGAGGATGAGGAACAAGATGGGAGCGAGTACTGTGCCTTGTGGAACAGAGCTTTTCACCGTAGCTGCCTCGGACTTTACTCTGTTGACTACTACTCTTTGTGTTCTGTTTGTGAGGAAATTATAGATCCATCGACCAACTTTTCCTGTTATTCCTTTAGCATGTATTTTGTGCGCTATTACGCCATGGTCACACTTGTCGAAGGCTTTTGCAAAGTCTGTATATATTACATCTGCATTCTTTTTGTCTTCTAGTGCATCTAGGATTTTGTCGTAGTGCTCCAATAGTTGAGACAGACAGGAGCGACCTGTTCTAAGCCCATGTTGCCCTGGGTTGTGTAACTGATGGGTCTCTAGATGGGTGGCGATCTTGCTTCTTAGGACCCTTTCAAAGATTTTTATGATATGGGATGTTAGTGCCATCGGTCTGTAGTTCTTTGCTATTGCTTTACTGCCCCCTTTGTGGAGTGGGGCTATGTGTGTTGTTTTTTGTAACTGTGGGACGACCACCGTGTCCATGCTCCCTCTCCATAGGATGGAAAAGGCTCGTGATAGGGGCTTCTTGCAGTTCTTGATGAACACAAAGTTCCATGAGTCTGGTTAAAAACCATTTGTCTCCATTCACTCCTTGCTTGCTGGAAGTCCAAGCCCCTCACACAGAAAAACTCCTTTACCCTCTCCCTCCAATCCTTCCTAGGCTGACCCCTACCCTGCCTTCCCTTCACTACAAATTTATACACTCTCAAAGTAATATCTATATTTTCTTTATCTAAAGCATTTGATACCCTCATTACCTTACTCTTATCTATGTTCACTTTGAACTTTCTACCACAAATGATTTTTTTCTCTATTATTTTCTCACCAGATGTTTCCAAATTAAGTCCAGTTTACGCATGTGCTTCATAGAAAGGTCTTTTTAGTTTGTTTGTAGAAATTCATCAAGAACTGAAGATTTAGTAAATGCAATATTGTTACAGCTGGAGGAAGAGAATGTGGTGATATGACTGGGAGTGAGCTTGTCAGCACATGGGTCTATGGAAGATGATGTGAACCATAGAACCGATGAAAGACAAAACTTGAGTAGTGCACTGAGGCAACTGTGGAGACGAAGGGAATTATCCATAGAGACAAAGAGGGGAATGTATGAGTGTACAGTGGTACCAATGCTCTTATATGGAAAGGATGGGGGTAAAGAAGGTTTTGAGTGAAAGGGGCTTGGATATATAGCAGGTATGTGCGAGTGTGTTAGATAGGAGTGGAGACGAATGGTTTTTGGGACTTGACAAACTGTTGGAGTGTAAGTAGTGTAATATTTTGTGAAGGGATTCAGGGAAAACCAGTTAGCTGGACTTGAGTCCTGGAGGTAGGAAGTACAGTGCCAGCACTTTAAAGGAGGGTTTTGGGATATCTACTATTTAGTGACATTTAAACTGCCATACCTGCATGCCTCTGCAAAGACAGTGATAGTGTGAATGATGGTGAAAGTGTTTCATTGTTTTTGGGTCACCCTGACTTGGTGGGAGACAGCCATCGTGTTAAAAAAATTAAAAACTTATTGTTTACTGTTTCAGTAGAATTTTTTTTATTAACCCTTTGAGGGTCGACAGGCCCTCTCTGAAACTCGTTCTCAGGGTCGGCCAAATTTAAAAAAAAAAAAAATTATTTTCTCTTATGAAAAGATAGAGAATCTTTTCCCGATCATAAAGACACCAAAAGTTTGAAATTTGATAGAAAACTTATGGAATTATGCTCTCGCAAAGTTAGCGGTCTCGGCGATGTTTATGCATAGGGGCGATTTTGCCCACTTTGAGCCCCTTTTTTTGGCCAATTTCACTGCCCCATTTCGAAAAAAAAACATAAATATTTAGCTAAAATTTTCCATTTTTTTTACGAATGGGTGCAAAAAACCACCCATTTAGAAATTCAACTATCCAGACAGTGGTCAGAATTTTTTAAAATTTTCCCAATTTCACAAAATTTTAAAAAGATGCCAATTTTCCGAAAAGGCCCAGAATAAACAAGAAAGACTTTCCGGCACAAAAAGCTTTCCTCTATCAAGTCACGCTCAACCCCCCTTTTAACTTTTGTTTTCCCCCTTTGATTTTTACTCACAAAAAATAAAGTTTACTGTTATCGACCTGCATTTGTGAAAAAAGGGAAAAATTTTTGGGTGCATTTGAAAGAATATAGACTCACCAGTTGAGGTATTGCATCTTGGCACGTTTTGTTTACTTTTGAACTTTGGTAAAATCGAACATTTGTACTTTGAGCTCAATTTAAGGGCCCCTTTTCATGTAAAACCAGTCAAAATCACTTTTTTTTTCTGTAATAGTAATAATTTTTTAAAAATGAGACCAAGAAAACTAGAATACAACAATAATACCTACGAAAATAACTGCAAAGCGCTGTTTTTATTCCAAAAAAATGGTAAAAGTTTTTTTTTTTCATTTGCACTTGTCGCAGGATTTTTTTAGACTTGCACATGACCCATAGCCCTTTTCTTTTAAAAGGCCACCAGTTTTCCCTCCCAAATTTTAGGCCGCTAGAATTTATGCTCTAGTACTAAAAAAACCCCACGCGTAAGCTACTAGTACGACGAAAACCCTAAAAGGGGTTTAAACAGTGACACTTTAATTTCGGAGTCATGACTTCTTAGCTTGACCCATAGGTCTACTGTGCGGGTTTGATAGACCCCCTTTAAAACGGCCCCAGGGGCCCACTCGCGATTTTTGAACATAATTTTCCCGGGTAGGTTTAAAACATCCTTGTTTATCCATATAAATTTAAAGATTAATTGTAAATTTTTATCTTTTTTTGGAAAAAAAAAATAATTTTAAAAAAGAAAGATAAAAAAATAAATTCTGCCATAAGTACATGCCTGTTTCTGCATGTGTCCCAGTCTCTCTTGTGACACGTCTCTCTTGAGCATTTCAACCACAGCTGGTAGGTCCTCCTCGTACACTTGAATTGGCTGCTGTACGCCAGTCAATTACCTACAGTCAATGAGCATTTGTTAATTAACTTAAGATACATCAGCTTAATGCAGTATAAGTGCTCCTCAACTTACAGTGACGTTACAAGTACTCTTCAACTTACAGTGATGTTTCATCCTGATAAATAATCCTAAATTGAAAATATCATAGGTTGAATATGAATATATGCTAAATAAATAAGTAATAAATAACTACTGCCACTGAATAAGTACATATACAAATAATTACTACATTATTTTTATTATTATCACACCGGCCGATTCCCACCAAGGCAGGGTGGCCCGAAAAAGAAAAACTTTCACCATCATTCACTCCATCACTGTCTTGCAGAAGGGTGCTTTACACTACAGTTTTTAAACTGCAACATTAACACCCTCCTTCAGAGTGCAGGCACTGTACTTCCCATCTCCAGGACTCAAGTCCGGCCTGCCGGTTTCCCTGAACCCCTTCATAAATGTTACTTTGCTCACACTCCAACAGCACGTCAAGTATTAAAAACCATTTGTCTCCATTCACTCCTATCAAACATGCTCACGCATGCTGCTGGAAGTCCAAGCCCCCGCACACAAAACCTCCTTTACCCCTCTCCCTCCAACCTTTCCTAGGCCGACCCCTAACCCGCCTTCCTTCCACTACAGACTGATACACTCTTGAAGTTATTCTGTTTCGCTCCATTCTCTCCACATGTCCGAACCACCCTTAACAACCCTTCCTCAGCCCTCTGGACAAAAGTTTGGAAATCCCGCACCTCCTCCTAACTTCCAAACTAACGAATTCTCTGCATTATATTCCACACCACACATTGCCCTCAGACATGACATCTCCACTGCCTCCAGCCTTCTCCTCGCTGCAACATTCATCACCCATGCTTCACACCCATAAAAGAGCGTTGGTAAAACTATACTCTCATACATTCCCCTCTTTGCCTCCAAGGACAAAGTTCTTTGTCTCCACAGACTCCTAAGTGCACCACTCGCCCTTTTTCCCTCATCAATTCTATGATTCACCTCATCTTTCATAGACCCATCCGCTGACACGTCCACTCCCAAATATCTGAATACATTCACCTCCTCCATACTCTCTCCCTCCAATCTGATATCCAATCTTTCATCACCTAATCTTTTTGTTATCCTCATAACCTTACTCTTTTCCCGTATTCACTTTCAATTTTCTTCTTTTGCACACCCTACCAAAATTCATCCACCAATCTCTGCAACTTCTCTTCAGAATCTCCCATGAGCACAGTGTCATCAGCAAAGAGCAACTGTGACAACTCCCACTTTATGTGTGATTCTTTATCTTTTAACTCCACGCCTCTTGCCAAGACCTCGCATTCACTTCTCTTACAACCCCATCTATAAATATATTAAACAACCACGGTGACATCACACATCCCTGTCTAAGGCCCACTTTACTGGGAAATAATTTCCCTCTTTCCTACACACTCTAACTGAGCCTCACTATCCTCGTAAAAACTCTTCACTGCTTTCAGTAACCTACCTCCTACACCATACACCTGCAACATCTGCCACATTGCCCCCCATTCCACCCTGTCATACGCCTTTTCCAAATCCATAATGCCACAAAGACCTCTTTGCCTTATCTAAATACTGTTCACTTATATGTTTCACTGTAAACACCTGATCCACACACCCCTACCTTTCCTAAAGCCTCCTTGTTCATCTGCTATCCTATTCTCCGTCTTACTCTTAATTCTTTTCAATAATAACTCTACCATACACTTTGCCAGGTATACTCAACAGACTTATCCCCCTATAATTTTTGCACTCTCTTTTATCCCCTTTGCCTTTATACAAAGGAACTATGCATGCTCTCTGCCAATCCCTAGGTACCTTACCCTCTTCCATACATTTATTAAATAATTGCACCAACCACTCCAAAACTTATATCCCCACCTGCTTTTAACATTTCTATCTTTATCCCATCAATCCCGGCTGCCTTACCCCCTTTCATTTACCTACTTGCCTCACGAACTTCCCCCACACTCACAATTGGCTCTTCCTCACTCCTACAAGATGTTGTTCCTCCTTGCCCTATACACGAAATCACAGCTTCCCTATCTTCATCAACATTTAACAATTCCTCAAATAATTCCCTCCATCTTCCCAATACCTCTAACTCTCCATTTAATAACTCTCCTCTCCTATTTTTAACTGACAAATCCATTTGTTCTCTAGGCTTCCTTAACTTGTTAATCTCACTCCAAAACTTTTCTTATTTTCAACAAAATTTGTTGTTTAACATCTCACCCCTTCTCAGGGGGCTTCTTTTTTACATTCCTTCCCCAAACTCCCCCTTAAAACCTTTCTCTTTTTCCTCCTTTATTTCTTTCCCCCCTTGCCCCCTTTTTTTTACTTTGAAAAAATTTTCCCAATGCAAACTTTTTCCCCCTTACTACTCTCTTACATCATCTTTCCCCAAGCTCCTCTTCCCTCCCGCCCCCAAACTTTCCTTTTAACCACAAACTTTTCTCTGAACCCCCAAAACACTACTTTTTTTAAACCACCCCATACCCTTCGATCTCTTTGCCTATGCTTTTAAATTACCCCATTTTTTCCCCAATAGCTTTTTTATACTTCCCCTAACTCCCTTTCCTCTTTTTTTTTTATAAACCTTCATTCTCTCTTCCCTGATGTTTTCTATTCCCCTTGTATCCCAAACTACCTTTTACTCTCATTGTACTAAAACTAGAAAGTGATCTGATTATACTGGGGCCCCCTTTCTAAAACATGTATATCCTGAAGTCAAACTCAACATCTTTTTAAACCAATCATAATCCAAAAAAAACTACGTCATTTCCCCCTTTCCCAATCATATCTTGTATACTTATTTTTTCCTCTTTTTTTTAAAAAAATGTATTACCTATAACAAAACCCCCTTTCTATACAAAGTTCAATCAAAGGGCTCCCATTATCTTTTAAACCCCTGGAAACCCCAAATTTTACCTACCACACCCTCCCCTAAAAGTTTTTTCCCTACTTTAGCATTCAGGTCCCCAACCACAATTACTTTCTCATTTGGGTTCAAAAGGTCCTAACATTCACTTAACATCCCCAAAATCTTCTCTCTCCTCTGATTCCTCTCTTCCCCAGGGGGCATACACTTTATTGACCCATTTCCCTGGGCACCCAAAACCTTTATTTTAAAATCCAAATAATTTTTTAATTTACAATTCTTATTCTCTTTTCCCCCTTCCATAAAAATCATTAAACCCTTACTCCCTATCCCTTCCTTTGCTCTAACTCTCTCGTTTTCCCCAGATTTAATCCCATTTATTTCCCCCCACTGAAACTCCCCCCCCCCCCCTTCGGGTTTTTGGGTTTCGCTTGGGGCCGGGAACATCCAACTTTTTTCCCTTTCAAAACACAAAATTTATTTTGTTTCTTGTCACCGAAACTCCCTCCACGCACTTTTTAAGCTTTCCCGTTTTAAAAAGGGTTTTTCTTCTCTTTTTTAGTAAATGTCCTACGGAGAGGGGGTTACTAATTGCCCCCGGGCATTTTATCGCCTCTTTCCCGACACGCGGGTTTTACGGAGGAAAGTTTTTAAACCCCCCAATGGACAATAGAAAAAAATAAAGAGGAACAAGAGCTTTTTAAAAAAAAGGGGGAAAAACCTAGATGTATGTATTTTTTATAGGGCAGGTGCTGTCGGGGGAAGTGTAAACCAAAGGGTAAGTGGGGTTTTAGTATAAATTTTCCCCTTTTTATTAGCGTGTTTATGAGAAAGAAAAAGAAACCAGGAAACCCTTCCATCATGAGAACGGGGTTACGGGTTTTCCCCTTTTTCACATTCATCAAAATTTAACTAAATACCAGTACTAAAAGGTAAAATTTGTATAAAATTTTACAGACTTGCCACCTTCATGCGGGAAAAATTTATCTAAATTTTCATCATCACTACGTAAAAGGGAATCATCCTATGCCCAGGGGCACCTGTACGTATGGTGCTAATATGTATAAAAAAATTTTAACGTCAAATTTTCCCTTTTTTTATTTATTGTATTTTCCAATATGAGATAAAAAAAAAAAGCAATTTCATGTCACAAAAAAATTTCCCTTTCATAGAAAGATTTTTGTTTTTACCTCAGAAAATGGAAGAAATTAAACCGTGGGAAACCCAATAACAGGGAACAGCCAGAAACGCAAGGCATCAAAAAGCCCCTCTCCCCCAAGGCGACCACCACGGACGAAAAGACAAAATTTGGGTTTCCCTGTAAACAGGGTTTTTTCCTTAGTTTTTCTAAAAATAAAATGAGTTAAAGTTTAGTTATCCATGCCTCAACATGAGAAGGAACAAATACCATGGGAAAAACTTAAAAATGTTTTTAAAATCAATAAACTACAAAAGGTTTAAAAAGAATAACCTTTTGCACGTTTAACATGAATTTAAACTTTCAGATGTTTAGTTAGGTAAAAGGACACAAATGCAACTAATGTTCCATTTTTTTTTGGAATGTTTTGCTCTCCAGGAGCTTTGTCAAGCTTTTACAAACAGTTTCATGTAATGGGTTGAAAAGTGCCCGGAGAGCAAAATGTTGCCACAGTTAAAAAAGTCCAAATTTTTTTTTACTTCTGTCGTTTTTAACTAACATTTTTTATTTTTTTTTATCACACCGGGATTCCCCCCAAGGCAGGGGGGGCCCGAAAAAGAAAAACTTTCACCATCATAACTCCATCACTGTCTTGCCAGAAAGGGGGCTTTAAAATACAGTTTTTAAACTGCAAAAATTAAAAACAAAACCCCCCCTTAGAGTGCAGCATGGGGATTTTCCCTGTCCGGGCTCAAAAGTCCCCCTGCCCGGTTTTTCCCCGAAAACCCCCTTTATAAAAAGTTTTTCTTTCTCAACCCCCAACACACGTCAAGTTTAAAAACCCCTTTTTTCTCCATTCACTCCTATCCCAAAAACGCTCAGCAGCCCGTGGAAAATTTCCCAAACCCCCCGCAACAAAACCTCCTTTACCCCCCTCCCAAACCTTTCCTAGGGGCCCACCCCCAAACCCGCCTTTTCCTTTACTACGATGATACAATCTTGAAGCCACTCTGTTTCGCTTCATTCTCTCTACATGTCCAACCACCTCACAAACCCCTTTCCCCAGCCCCCCTGGGCAAAAATTTTGGTAACCCAGCCCTTCTTTTCCCAACTTTAAAATTAACGAAATTCTCTGCATTTTCATTCAAACCCCAATAATCTCCACTGCCTCCCGCCTTTCTCCTCGCTGCAACATTTTCACCCATGCTTTTACACCCCTGTAAGAGCGTTTGGTTTAAAAATATACTCCCATACATTCCCTCTTTGCCTCCAAGGGCAAAGTTCTTTTTCTCCCCAGGGCTCCTAAGGGGCACCACTCAACCCCCTTTTTTCCCCCATCAATTTTATGATTCACCTCATCTTTCATAGACCCCTCCGCTGACACGTCAACTCCCAAAAATCTTTATACATTCCCCCTCCTCCAAAACCTCTCCCTCCAAAACTGATATCTAATCTTTCATCACCCAAATTTTTTTTGTTGTCCTCATAACCTTACTCTTTTTCCCATATTCCTTTTAATTTTTTCTTTTTAAAACCCTACCAAAATTTATCCACCAATCTCTGCAACTTCTCTTCCCGAATTCCCAAGACCCGTTCATCAGCAAAAAGAGCAACTGGTTGGTAATTCTACTAAAAATTAATTTCAGATTTTTAACATTTATAATAACAGATGTTAAACATTAAAAATCTACCCACCCTTGGGATATAAAAATTTTAACATACATTGGGACCACACACTGTACCACACATTGTACCTTTAAATAGTATAAACCCTGGTGGGGTAGGCCCTGCTTTCAGTGTTTTGCCCTTTTTGGGATTCCGCTAATAAAGGACATTTTAAATTTTTGACCAAAACTCGCCCATACGGGCTCCCCCCACCTGAATTTTTTAATATAAACACCATGCCCCATCAGTTTGTTTACATTCTCTGTGAACTCCGGGGAGGGACCGCGTTCTCCATTTTAAACTGGAAACCTTTTTAAATTTTTATGTGTTTCAAATTTATTTCAGTTTTTAACCCTCTCCCCACTTAAATGATTTGGGGTTTAGTTCCCAAAGTAAAGGGTTGGGAACAAACGGTCATTTAAATGAGGGCAAACGACTTGGAAATGGGGTTTTTGTCAACCCTCTTTAGATATTTTTTAATGTCACCTTTGAACCCATTTATAAACATTTTAGTATATTTTTTTAAAAGTTTATACAAAATAGAGTAGTGGGATACTTTTAATAAACAGAATGAGGAAACCTGCTTTTAATATTTCATTTAAAAGTGGGCCCCCAAAATTTTAAAGACAGGTTTTGGGTTCCAAGGGTACTGCGGAAAGGGGGACACTGCCGGGGAAAACAGAACACCATTTTGGGTTTTTACTTTTAAAAGCAATAAAAAAGTTTACCCCAACATTACAGTGGTACCCTGGGGTTTCAGCCATAATTCATTTCAAAGGCTGTTTTAGTGCTGTTACCGAACGAATTTGTTTCCCAAAAGGAATAATGTAAATTTTGTTAGTCCCGTTTTTAGGACCCCCAAAAGTACACTTACAAAAAACATTACCAAAAATTAAAACTTACATAATTTTTTTGAGTTGGGACTGGACGAAACTTGGGACCATTATTAAATTAGCAAAAGAACAAGGTTTTTAAAAAAAAAATAAAAAGTAAAAAAACACACAAAGTACCCCTTTTTACTTTTAAAAAATTTTTGTCATAGCCCCTTAAAATGTCCAAACGTAA